GAATCGGAAGCCAACTTCAGCGTCGTCCCAAATTGCTCCTGTGGGGATTGCCCACAGTATTGAGTATGTTAGTCGCTTTGGATAAAAGCGTCTAACAAGTAACATGTAATGTCTACTACTTCAGCACCATGGACAGTGTCATAGATTTAACACTGCACAGCACAGTTACTGATATTTCTGCGCCAACTTGCAAAAGCCAGTCAGGTGAATAACAAAACCCTGAGGCCTCTCTGCTACAGGGGAATATAGAGAGGGGATACGAGGTTAAGAATGGGCATGCATCCCACCTTCACATTGGATACTGAGTGTATCAGGGTCTAGAAAGTGTTGGGGAATAATTTGCCCTGCATGTCCTCCTTCGCCCTCTGACGCAGCTGACCAACCTTGAGCAGCCGTTATCTCCCATAAGGAGGGGCTGCCCTAGCATAATGTTGATGTTACCAGTTTATGACCTGGCAACTCTCTGTCAGAGATAGTTATTGTTGTGGGACACCTGGAACACGTCCTTCTCGGGGTGTAGATGACCCCGAGCCTTCAGTGTCCTCAGCTGTTTAGTCTATCTATTGAAGAATGTTGATAATTACACTCTGAACTAGTTAAAACCTCGAGCTACAGGAGGTTCTTCAGAATTGATTATGGAAACCGTGTGGTCAACTCGTGGCTCGTGACATGTCTTGTGAATTCTCCGGCCGAAGCTCCGAATAAAGCGTCAGTGTTTGCCCTCAAAGCTCCAGCTCTCCTCGTGTCTCTCTGAGTCCTGACTCCTATTGCTTCAGACGTTTCCCCCACAGAAAGTGTTTTCAGACAAAGCTGCCCCCCTTGTAGTACAACGTTTAGTTCGTAAACAACACAAAGTACAAGCGTTTACAGTCTTTTTTTATACATACCACCAAAGCCTGCATCCCAGTTCCTGTTGGGATCGACTCCGCGGCACATGGAGCCAGGGTTCTCTGAGCGGGTCTTACGCCACATACGATTCTGAACATCACACGGTACATTCAGTCAGGCAAAATGTGTGTTTTCAGAGACATAAAGAATAATATTTATTTAAATAAAGTGGTCTAAGCATCAACTATTTCTCCCTCTCAAATTTCCATCTTACAGCTAAAATGTCCAAACAGTGTTTTTTCTATACACAACATGAAAAACGTGAAATATGGAGATGGATATAGAAATTTGAAATACGGAGATGTAGCAGTCTTTACTGAACCAACATGTGTCTATGGACTGATAGACGTACGTTGTTGTGTGTGTAGTGGTAGCCGTCGGGGTTGGCGAGGATCAGCATGTAAATGTCCATGTTGTCCAGGAGGGAGGCCAGGGAGGCGTCCCTACCGTAATCTGTGGCAATCTGAGCAAAAACAGGTTTTCACTTTGTAGAAAGAACATTCTTAAAAAAGAAAGCAACCTTTCATACTTAAAAATACAAGATTATTTACAAGCAAGAAAGGAATCCATTTAACAGGTTTTGTTTGGTCTGGAAACAATAGTACATGCATTACTATGCTTACCATTTATTATTATTATAACGTTTGCTGTTGTTGGATACAAATAGGCATAGATCACTTATCAACTGCCATATTGTTATAAAGTAATATAAGCAATAATAGCTAAAACCAAATATATATACTATATTAACTATGAATATGCTGATTAGTTTTCAGATCGACAGTTTGACTGTAAAATGTCAGAAGATAGAGAAAAAAGTCAAAAGTTTTAACCGAGTTCAACCCTTAAGAACTGGATGGAACAAAGGTATTTAAATTACAATGAAATATTGAAAAAGATCAATAAAAAATGATCAATTATAATTGTAAGATCTCAATTATGATCGTTGTATTTTATTTATGTTCGATTGCACGTTGCTGCTCGTCCAAAGTGTTTATAATCAGAAACACTTGGCAGTCTTCTGGTTGTTTTTTGGAAAGGCTACATGTACTGAATAATGGATATTGTGTGTTTATTGTTTCTCAAAATATTCCAAAGGACTACGCCAGCTGGCTCACACTGGCACTGATGGGGCGAAGCCTGCGAGCTAGTTCAGGCAGTCAACTCGAACACCAATGATACATTACCACGTGACGCACCTCGTCCCTCTTACAACCGACCAAACACTTTCTCCTAAACATGCCGCTCTATTGAAGCTGCCAGGTCTTCCTGCCTCTGCCTCCTCGCTATGCTGCTGCTGCTGTGTTCACTTGCTATTGCTACGTTCATGTTCCTACTGCTGTGTTTCATGTTCCTGCTGTTTGCCTGCCCCACCACCACCCCAGCTTCCACCTGTAGGCTCGGGGGATAGTTATCTAATCATCACTCAATGTCCTTTGTAAACCTTAGGAGTGATGAGGCCCGAGCCTAGACGCCAAACTCAAACTATATGCTGCTTCTAATAAACATATTAAGAACACGTGAGTTGTCTGACTGAATTACAGTTATGTTGATTAATGTACGTTGTCTTTATAAATAAATCAGTGAAATTAATTACACTTTCTGTTATTGAGATATCATTTTGGAACTCTTATTTTGAATGTAACTTTAACATATATTATTCCTCTAAGTATTTTTTTTTTGTTCACAGTCTCTAGAAAAGAGCATTTTAATTCAGTCTTTGGCTCTAACTCGTCACCTTGTTGGCGGTCCACACTCCGGTGGCCTGAGAGACCCACTCTCTGGAGTGGATCCCTGTGTCGATCCAGATGGCCGGCTTGTTTCCTCCTTTGCTGAACTACAACACAATGAAAACAGAATAAACTCATGCTGTCAGAATGATGTAGTGAAGATGTGACCCTGACACAGGTCCAACATGTACTCCTGATGTCTCGTTTGAGGCTGCCCTACCTTCAGCACGTACATGGGCCTGTTCTCATACGACCTCCCGATCTCCAGCTTGGTGACCAGAGTGGAGTACTCAGACACCAGAGTGTCCATCCAGCTGTAGATCTGCAGGGAGACATTACAATACACACCACTGTAAAGTGTGTGTACTAAACACAAAGTACTCCACATGTGCTGTTGAATCTAAGCTAATAGATAATGACCTGAGTAGTTGAAGAAAGGCACATTAGACTAAACCACTGTGGCACAGAATCATTTAATACATCTAATACAATTTCTGGTTACTATTAGTTATTAAAAAAGCAATTGATGTCAACTTAATTCTGCTCCATTTCTCATCCTCAAGTTACGTTTCCTCGTGATTTACTGTCAGTGCCACACTGTATTACCTTGATGCACAAACATTACTCTCTACATCAAATACAAATACATTTCATTTTCAAATTGCAAGATCATTCTTTTTTTGTCTTTTTACAAACATGATAGCCAATTGTAAAAAAAAGAAAAAAGGTTTGATTAATTTATTTTAGATTTTTCAACAAAATAGTTTTTTCTCTTAATCTGGAGTCATGAGTAACTTTTGTGTTTGTATAATAATCTTTACCGTCTCCAGACGATGATAAGCTCCGAAGTTGAAGCTCCTGCCGCTGCGCTCCTTGATTTGGTTCTCCATCATCTCGGACTTCTCCTCATCCAGACGCTCCTGAATGTGGCAGACAGGGGAACTCACATTCAGCACGGTCATCATTTAACCTGGACACACACACACACACACACACACCTGCAGGTCGTTGATGAGGACGGAGTAGGCGATGTTGTTGGCGCTCAGGATCTCGCTCACAGAGCTCAGGCTGGAGCTCGGCACTCTGATGTCGACGGGCAGCTCCATGGAGACCGGGCTGAGCCAGAAGTCCAGCTGAGAGCAGACAGGTGAACATGAGGAGTCGCATTATGGACTTATTTATTGTCTCAGTGTTGTCAAGTTGCTCTGAATTGCATTTGGCCTGGTCATTGTATACATTGCTTTCTCTTAAATTAGTGGGGTATGTTGATATAATTATATATTCAAATATAGTCTCTGATTGTGCTTTTTAGGTAACATTAACTCAGGGTATAAGGATACAAAATATTACTTTAATTTTAGAGATTAAATATGGTATTGATCGTATTTTTATTTTATTTTGTTTTAATTTCCCTATTTCTTTTTACTTATCATTTAATTGCAGTATTTACTATTTTATTTTCTAATAAGGCTTTTCATTAATTTTTGTATTGATATATTTCATATTTTTGTGAAATGTATTTATTATAATAATTATGTTTTTATTATTAGTAGTAAAAGTAGCAGCAGTAGTAGTAGTTTGTATATTATTATATTAATATGAATTACTCAAATGTATTTATATTCAAGTCTTTTTTTGTGAATATTTGATTTTGTAGATATTTCTTTATATTAAATCCTTGATACCTGTAGATATGTATGTACTTGTATTAAATACTACGATGAACATTGGCATATTTCAATAAAATATATAAATACATTATAATTATTGCTTCTATAAATAAAGTGATGGTTACACCCAGGTGTGTCCTCTCTCACTTCCTCGTACCTACCCTCCCCCACGCCTCCCCTTGTTTGCTGTTTTTCCACTGAGAGAGTAAGTGTACTTTTACTTTATCATGGACTTCCAAGTCTCCAACTTTTATATATAAATACATTACGGAAGTGTGAAGCAGCCAAAGTTTCAAATCAAAAAATGTCAGTGGCATAAATCTGAATAATGAATTTAATCAGAGTTTAACTAAAACAACAGCTTCTCATATTTGAATCTGTTGTTGTTTAATCAAAAACACTGATTTATTGTGTCCGTCTGCCTTTAAATCTGCATTAATTTACATCTTGGAGGAGCAGTGAATATTTTATTAATAGAATACATTGGAGGAAAGGTCAATCAGTAGATGTTTTCTGTATTTAAGCAAGCAGCAAAAAACAGGACTTTCTGACAAGTTACTATGTACTAACCCAAATAATAAATTCAACAACTCTCAGCGTCATCCTGCTGCCCGTAATACAATATCCCAATTCAAATGTAAATGGTAACATGTATGTATGTGAGAGTGTGTAGGTATGAGCAAAAATAATACATCATTTGAAATCAAAGAAATCCTGAAACACTCTGTTTAAATGCATCCAAACCCAACACTTATTTATTTTAAAATCACTCATTTGTTAATCTTGTTTTCACGTGCAATCCGCTCTTTCTTGTTGTATCTGTGTCCTTGCCTTGTGTTCTGTACTGGGAGGTTCATGAGAATTTCTTTGGCACAAGCAGCTGAGAAAACATGAGGAACATACTGTAGGTGTACTGCTTTTTTACTTTATCTTATATTTGTACATACATACTTATAATATTTTCTTGTATTTTCTTGAACATTTTTACTTTAAGTTCCCTTTTGATTATTTTAAATCTTATTTGATCTAAGGTGGAGATACCGTCACAAAACGTTTTAGTGTTTCTGATTCAGTAGTGCTGTGTGTGTGTGTGTGTGTGTGTGTGTGTGTGTGTGTGTGTGTGTGTGTGTGTGTGTGTGTGTGTGTGTGTGTGTGTGTGCGTGCGTGCGTGCGTGCGTGCGTGCGTGCGTGCGTGCGTGCGTGCGTGCGTGCGTGCGTGCGTGCGTGCGTGCGTGCGTGCGTACCTCCAGCTCCTCTCTGGTCTCCAGGGCCTGCAGCAGTTTGATCTGCTCCTCTGACTCTGCATTGATCCTGATGACCTGATCCCTGCAGAGAGAAACATGTTTCAGTCTCTAAAAACTAATATTCACATTTTAGTTTGTAAGTTGATTCTCAAATCCAAGTTATTTTCTGCAGTAGAGGAAGATTTAATTCCCTCCTTACCAAAATAAAAAGCAATTAATCGGCAGAACAGTCCGTAGCCCTGTTTTGTTTAATTCCATACGACTGTAATTATGATTTTATCTTTCTCCAAACCAAACAAAACCTCCTTTCTCTGCCCACTGAATTCAAATGAACTCTTTTATTGGTTGGTTATTAACATGCTGATTATAAGGCATTCAATTGAGGAAAATAGAAAAACCTTGATCAAGTCATGTAATACTTGTATTTAATAAATAAGCATGCAAGTTAATTCCTCAGCTAATTGGAAAACTGAGGAAATGGATGGTGAAAGTGAATGCTTCAAATGTTCGAAATTAAAGGTGGGGTAGGTAATTCACTTCAGAAACACTTTTTATATTCCATGGAATGCTCTTAACATCCCGATAGCAATGAATACATTAAATGCTTTGACAATAAATACATAAAAACATGTCATCTGTGGAAGCCGTGGAGCTGTAAAAAGCACGACCAATCATCTGAGCCGGCCCGGCTAAAATAACTGGATGGCCTACCTGCCTTCCATCTGTGCACAAACTTATCTCGTGCCCTCATTGCCCTAAGTATTTTTCTTTTGTACGTTTTTGTGTTTCTCCAATTTTTCCACAATACTGTTTTGATGTGGCTGTGAATAAGAAAACATGAAGGACAGACCATCTATTTTATTTATTTTTTAGAATAGAGAATTTTCTGCAAATAATTGTTACACATGAAGTTGTGCATACCTTGAACGGAACAAATGAAAGGAAATGAAAATGAGCGACTAAAGAGAGTAAGACGAACACAAGCAATACAACCATAAATGAATATATAAATACACTAAGTGACTTTCCACTGCTGCCTCCAGAAGAACTCACCCGATGAAGAGCCTCTCAGCGTGACTCGCAGCCAGCAGCAGCGTCAGCAGCCAGAAACCTCTCATCATGTCTCTGAGTTGGGACTGTTGACCCTCCTCCGGTCCTCTCTTCTTTTAAAACCACCCTGAGACAGCTGCTCTGTTCCCACTGCAGAGCACGCTGCTGGTATCACACGACAAAAGCATGTCTAGAAAAAAAGTTATTTCCAGAGACCAACCTGCTGATTAATCCTCTTTATCTGCTCAGTGCTCAGCTGCAGATAGTGGAAGTTTCCCATTATGCTTTCCTGACTGAACTAAAGACAAGAAACACTGAAAATGCTCCATTACAGGTAAAAGGGCTACATTCAAAACCTTAAAAAATAAAGCTGTATTTGTATACCCCTTCTTAGACACCAGGTGCAGCTCAAAGTGCTTTAAGGTCAGACAGTAAAAACTTCAGCACACATAATACAACAGTTTAAAAACCTGTTAAACCCAGAGCCTTTTTTTCAGGTTTCAGGCTCGAAAATGACATTCCCAGAATAAATGACCATATCTTCCCTTCTAAAAGGGTTAAAT